ATTATCAAAAGTGCTGGTAAAGAAATGTGCAAAGGGAAGATTTTCAAATTAAGGTTGGCCTGTACACATAAATGTTAGCTTGTAAAGCTCAAGAAATACGAAATTGTACTCCATTAGTTCCCTGCATTTTATTGCCTTTTTGGAATAATCATGTGCTTCAGAACATCCTTTAATCTGAGCTGGCTTGTGGTTATATAAGAATGCAGCTTCTTTTTTCTTTGTGCTTTATGTACTCAGATGAGGAAAATTTACTGCATTTTATAAATAAATCAGAGCTAAAAAGCAAATCTTCTTCCCACCTTTTTATCTTCATGGAGACCCAGCTTTAAGGCATTTGAGTGATGCGTTTATACTCAGCCCCACAACTAGTTCCACTGAAAAACGAATCTTCAAAGTCACTTTTTTTTTTGCTTCTTACAGGACACACTATTCGGAATCATAAAAAGGAATACTGTGCTTATGTTAGTAAGGAGCAGATTTTCCTCTTTTTCAAACACTGAAAGGCTTTACTTCCACTTCATGACCTTGTCAGAGATGAAAATGGATCGCTTATTAAAATGCATATACTCTATTTAAATTAAGACAGATATTTTATTTACATTAGAACAGAAGATTCCTAAATATTAGTGGAGCTCTATGTGTTTGCCATGGTTTAACTGGACGAGAGCATTGATTTACATTGAGTGAGGCCTTCTTTGATATTTAGTTTTACTACTAAATTAGCTCAGCCTGTGTAGTGGGACTAAAATTGGTTAGAGATGTCATGCATTTCCCCACACTTGCTATTTAATATAAAACAACATTTTTTTATTTGTAAATTAGAATAGAAGTTATCAATTCAAAGCAACATGCCTTATTGCACAAGGTTTTATTTGAACAACATTAAAAAAATTTAAGCTCTGCTGCCCTGACCGGTTTGACTCAGTGGTTGGAGCATTGCCTGTGAACCAAAAAGTCACAGATTCTATTCCAGTCAAGGGCATGTTTGGGATCTGGTCCTGGTCGGGGTCATGCAGGAGGCAACCAATTGATGTGTCTCTTTCACATCAATGTTTCTCTCTCTCCCTTTCTCCCTCTCTCCCACCCTCCCACTCTATCTGAAGATAAATGAAAAAAATATCCTCGGGTGAAGAATAAAAAAAAAAAAAATTAAGCCTGGCTGGTATGGCTCAGTGGATCGAGCATCATCGTCCCATGGACTGAGAGGTCCCGGTTCAATTCCCAGTCAGGGCACATGCCCAGGTTGTGGGCTCGATTCCCAGTAGGGGTCGTGCAGGAGGCAGCAGATCAATGTTTCTCTCTCATGTTGATGTTTCTATCTCTCCCTTCTTCTCTCTCTAAAAAATAAATTAAAAAAAAAATTTTAATATGGTCTGTAATATGTACCTGATTATAATTAAAGTTTATGACTTTGACTTATGTGGTCATAAGTTAGTTATAAAGTAAATGAATTAAACTCAATAGTTAAGAATGAGGCGAGATAGAGAAAATATTGGTCCTATTAAATTGAGGGTGTTTAACTAAAAAGCTCCTGTGAATTATGGGACAAAAAATGTAAAACAACTGACTTGCAATATTCATAGAACAAAGTTATTATTTCATCCATAAGCCATGCATTTTTATAAAATATTCTTTTGGCTAAGTGTTGGGAAATAATTTAAAATAATATACATAAGTTTTGAAAGTTTTAAAATATTGTTCAATATATTTTCTATTTATAGACAGACTGAGCAAACAAAAGTAGATCTTTGAAAAACTGTAATACCAGTTGTGAAATAGTCTCCCCAAATGCTTTTAAGAGGGCCCCCAAAATGTAAGAGTCACACTGGGTGGGCGAGTCTTTATAGTATGGCAGAGAAGTAGCTGTTGCTCTGCCCTAGCCCCAACCCTGCAGTGGAAATATTACTTATTCATCAACACGCGGCCTTTTCCTCCGGGCCTGGCCTCAGAATTCTTCTGACAGAGCCTTCAAGGCAGACCTTCCAGTCATTTGGGTCAATCACACCAGAACAAGTGTCCATCCAACATTTGTAACAATTACCCATCACATTTGCCAACCTAAGTCTAGGCATGGTACCCAATATGACTTACACGATTTTATGTTTTTCACATACGCTGTTTTAATATTCAAATATTTGAGTATTCAAACAAAATAGTCCATGTGTCCCAGGGAAACCCTGCATACAACTCAAGGCTTACTGCTTCTTGATCGAAATAATACAGGAAGGGTTAAAATGCACCAGACCGGATTAAAGTTCCTGATAACCATCAGAGGGCTCAGTTGGATATAGTGATGTCCCTTGAGTCACTTCAGTGTGACACCCATTTACTAATCACCAGTGTCTGTGAGCTAATATTAACATTAAGTGACAAAAAGCATCACTAATATTGAGGCCTTGGAATTTGGCAGCCAGTTAACATTAAAGACATTTTATTTTAACAACACGCAAGGAAAATGGAGAACAACGAGATATCAAGTTCCTGTGAAATGAGAACTAAAGCGAACAACCAAAAGACACACTTTGAAAGTGTTCCATATTGGGCCACACTGCCACAAAATGCAGTAGCTGGAGCTCCGTCTGGCACAGGATGACCTGGGTGGCTTCACCCCTGTGGGCCTCACATGCCTTGGGGGAGAGCGTCAAACCCTGTCAGCCCCTCAGATGGAAAAAAGGGGTTTCAGTTTATCAGAGAAGCACCGATTATTGCCATCTTTAGGAGAAGGGTATGCAGTGGATATGAAGAGATGCGCAGTCTTTTCAGTGACAAAGGAGAGATGGACACAGTATGTTCTTCCAGCCCACAGGTAGAGTGCTGTTTACAGGTGCTCCGCGTCCAAACACAGGGCTGGGTCTACATATGCGTTGCTACATTTTGTTACAAAGGGACTGGAGAGTCCTGCTGAAATGGAAGCTAAGTGACACTTTTTCTTATCTGTCTTTTTTTCCATTTAAGCTTTGAGAAAAGTTTAGTATTTTGGTATTTTATATCGTGTGTGTGTCCTATTGGAAAGCCTAGAAATTTATTGTCTTACAGGGAATTTTAAACTCAGATCTGAATAACTCCAAAAAGCTCAGATTACTTTTTGTCCACATCTTAAAAGAGTGCCATCAATGTTTGGAAAATTCCCCCTCCCCCTTATGATGTTTCTCTAAAATTTGATTTGTGTGACTTAAATTATGATATTTCTTAGCACTCTTCAGTATTATGGTTAATAATAAGGTAATGTTTTATATATTTATAAATATTCCCATTTGGGAAGGTGAGCCAAGTGAATCTTACTTATAATGGTCCTATTTGAGCTCTATATCAAAATACCACCCATTGGGTAGGTTATAGACTGTAGAAACTTATTTCTTCCCAGCTGGAGGCTGGCACGTTCAGGACAGGACTGGCGTGGTCCTGTGTTGATGAGGTCCTTTTCTGTTCGTAGCTAGTGCCTCTCGCTGTGTCCTCACATGGTGGAAGTGGCGAAGGCTGTCCCTGGAGCCTCTTTAATAAGGGCACTCACCTCATTTGGGGGCGCATTCAGACCATAGAACGTGCCATCTGGGAAATCAGAAAAGCAGCATAGCACAGTCACCAACAGCATGAGCTCCAGAAGCCCACTGCCAGGTCTGGGATCCTGGCGTGACCCATGCCTACATGCGTGGCCTTGGAAATATTCTCTAAGCCCTCGTTTCTTGTTCTGCAAGAGTAGGGATAGGTAATACTCTGACACCAGCTTACTGGAATAAATGAGAGAAGACAAATAAAACTATTTTGCAGAGTGCCCAGTACCTAGTCAGAGCTCAGTGTTAGGCATTATTAACCCATGTATTTATAACCGAAAGCCTTTATTTTTTTATTCCTTCAACATACAAAGATTTCTTTTGTTTTATTGGGCCCTTTTGACTGTATAATCTGAGTTCAAGGTAGAAAGAATGAGGTGGTTACCGGTTCTCTTAGGCAGGGTGCTGGTGGGCAGGGGACTGGTTTCGGACGGCCGTGTCGCCCTGCTGCACCTGTCGTCCTGCAACTCAGCTCCTGCTGGACACACTCGAGGGACATTTCCACGGGGACATGTTTAAATCGAGATACACCTCATGTACTGTAATAGTCATCCTTTTAAAGTGTACAATTTAGTATATTCACGAGGATGTACAACTAACACTAGCTAATTCCAGAACATTTGCCTCACCAAAAAAAACAAACAAACACCAGAACACCAAAAAGACTCCATATATATTAGCAATTACTCCCCTTTCCTCCCAACCCGCCCCTCAGCCCCTGACAACAACCCATCTACTTTCTGTCTCTGGATTCATCTGGTCTGGACATTTCACGTAAATAGAGTCATACAACATGTGACCTCTCGTGACTGGCTTCTTTCACGCAGTGTGTTTTCGAGGTTCTTCCCTGTTGTGGCACGTGTCAGAAATCCATTCTTTTAAAGACTGAATAATACTCCATTGTATGGATATACTGTAGGTTACTTATCCATTCTTCAGTTGATGGGGATACACAGTTTTAAACAGTTTGGTTTCTAGGGAAATCTTTGAAAGTATTGTGCTTTCATCAGAACGTGTAAGCGTCTATACCCTTTTTTTCCTGAGACAAGTTATGTCACTGTCAACTTTTTATTTTATTTTATTAAAAAAAATTTTTTTTTTCCTTTGTGGATTTTTAGAGAGAGAAGAAGGGAGAGGGAGAGAGAGAGAGAAACATTGATGAGAGAGAACATCGATTGGCCGCCTCCTGCATGCCCCACTGGGGATCGGGCCCACAACCTGGGCATGTGCCCTGACTGGGAATCAAACCCGTGACCTCTTGGTGCATGGGTCAATGCTCAACTGCTGAGCTACACCAGCTGGACAACTGTCAACTTTTTAAAGAGAAATTTTATAGAATTTGGATAAAAAAAATTGAATTTTGAATTTTATTTTAGAGAAGGTTAAATAGTGTTCTTTCAAGCCTAGCTCTTTTATATTTGAACTCTGAAGCTTACTGAACTTTTCCAGGGAGAAAGAGGAGCAGCTAACTCGTGTGACTGACTTGCAGAGGTTGCAGGCCCAGCAGGCAGATGCGGCCTTGGAGGAGTTTAAGCGGCAGGTGGAACTGAACTCGGAGAAAGTCTACGCCGAGATGAAAGAGCAGGTGAGGCCACCCAGCCGTCCTTCCTGAAAGCCACTCTCTCAGTAGCAAGGCACATTCTGATCTTAAATATGACAGAAACATATTTACTTAAAAAAAAAAAAAAAAAGCTTTACCAAAATTAGCATGTGATCAGGTCAGGAACTCAGAATGAGAAAGGGGTATCAGCCTTGGCAGAGGGTGCCCCCCTCCACCAGATCCACAGGAAGAGGTGGCCCATAGTGGCCAAGAACAAGAGCCCTGGTGGAAAGGGGTCAGTCAGCGGCTCACCTTGCTCTGTGCAGAGCATGTGAGGGCAAGGGGCTATGGTGTGCGTCTCTGGGGGGCCACTCTTTGCTCCACCTGGGCCACTGGGGGCGCACTGATCAGCAGCTCCCTGGTGGCAGCACATGGAGGTAGCCGGTGGAGAACACCTGGAGTGTGCACAGAAGGAGGTGAGTCCTCTGTCCTCCTCAAGATTCCTTGATTCAGCCTTCACTTACTGCCAGGATAACCATTTCAAAGTTGCATCTACAAATGTGCAGATGGCAAGAATGTATCTCACTTTGGGAGCATGGATCAGTCTACAGTGAAATCCCAGGAGCAGTTGGGTTTTGTAGAGCAAGGATTCAAGTTAACCATGTTTGTGTTTGTTCATGTTCCATAAATAGTGTTTTATTGATCAGTTACAGCAAATTATTTCCCACTGGCAGTTCAGGAAGACAGAGGCTGTCTCCAGTTCTTTTCTTTCTTTATTGTTGAAAGTATTACAGATGTACCCCCCCCCATTGAAGTTAGTGGTATGTTTTATAGTTTTAAGAGAAAATAAAAAAGAATAAAGGGAGCAAACACCAAGATAGCCATCATGAAGAATCAACAATTGTTAACACTGTTTATTTAAACTAAATCATTACAGATGACATTTTAGTTTGCTCTGTTATTCATGTCTAATTACATTGCTCTCTCCACCTCTGAGAAAAACTGTAGCTAATTTAGTGTTAATATTTCAGGCTATGATTTTATATGTATGTATCATGTTGATGTATGTTGCATGCATTTTTGTGCCTCTATTTTTAAAAAGTTAGATAGTACTACCAATTTTATATATGAGTTTTGTTTGCTCTTTTATATTTAATGTTATGTATCAGTGCCCTATCTGTGTTGATTTAGTGCAATCCTTTTAGCATCGAATGCATTTTATCATAGGAGCATACCATATTTTATTTATCATCTCCCCGACTGAAGGGTATTTGGCTTATTTTCAAGTCTTCTTGACATGAAGAATGTTGCAGTGCTTGTCTGTGGTTTCATCGGTAGCTGGAGTTTTCTTGCTCAGGAGTCCCGAACACACACTGACTGGGTCATAGAACACTCCTCTGGAGGTTTCAGACTGAGCCCTGTGAGGTCTGTTAGTTGGGAACTGGGTTTTCTTGGTGTTATTTTCTTGATTCAGATTGCCGTTCACATTGAATTGTGTGAATTTGGGTCCTAAGAGTAGGAACTATATCCCATTATCTCTGAGAGTCCCACTCGCCGCCTGGCACCAAAGCGAGATCCTGTTGAGGGTGTGTTCCGGAGGCAACTCAGTCCCTGCCACGCAGGTGTCATCCCTCTCCAGCTCCTGCTGGGATCGGGGTCCAGGCCCTAGAGAGGGATTTGGTCCCAGTGTGCAGCGGGGTTGCATAGGACATTCTCTGCTCGCTTAACGTTTAGAGGATTACAGGAAATACTGGAGGAGGAGACCTTCAGGAAGTTTTAAGTGTGCAGTTAAGAAGGCTAAAAATGAGGTGTTTGAACTGCTAAGGCTGACAGTACAACTTGCTGAGAAAAGCTGATACTATGACTATGATAGGCATAGTATCAGCTCAGTAAAGGTACCTCTTAGAACTGATGATGCAATATGAATGGATCACAGAATTCATGGGTAATTAAGGAGAACAAGCAAGCAAACAATAGTGGGACTTGTGGAAACATTCTGTAGGATAAGAAAAATACATTTATATCCAGCAGTCATAGAAGAAAAGCATACTTCTGAAAATGATCTACTATATAATTCAGAAAAAAAATTCAGAAAAGTAGTACCTTTATAAGAAGACATGATTGATAGGAAAGAAGCCACAGATCAAGTAAAATTAATGCAGAGAAAACTGGATATGTTCTGGAAAAAGAATTGAACCTCAAATAGAAGTATGAATAAAATGAAAATCCTACAAGTTTCTAAGCAGGATGAAAGTGGCAAAACATTTCAGAAAAATGGAGTAACGCTTCAGAGTATTGAAGGAGAAAGGTATGACCCAATTCTGTACATAACCGAGGAGTTTCTCATTTGCAAAATCAACAGAAAAACATTTTCTTAGTAAGTGCTCACATAATGGCTACCACTTATTTCTTTTCTGGAAAAAATTATATGAGCACATCAGTCATTCCAGAGATGAAGTAAAAGACATCACACACATGGGGAGACCATTACAGTCAAGATGAGTTGAGAACAATGGAATCCAACAGACCAGAAACAAATTTAACTGTTACAAATTCAGTTATAAGATTGAATGCTAATGTTACTGATTCTTGTGTTATTAAACACAAATTTAGTCTGGTCGGTGTGGCTCAGTGGTTGAGCATCGAGCCATGCATCAAGAGGTCGCCAGTTCAATTCCCAGTCCAGGCACATGCCCAGGTGGGAGCCATGTAGGAGGCGGCCAGTCGATATCCTCTCTCATCGATGTTTTATCCCTCTCCCTCTGCCTTCCTCTGTCTCTAAAATCAGTAAAGGAAAAAATATACAAATTTAATAACAACGACTTAAATCTAAATCCCTAGATTACATGAACAAAGATTAAGAAGTAGGTAGGTGGTGAGAGTAGTATAGTATGCGAAAGCACTTTATCATGAAATAGTTCAGACTCAAAGATTCTTAAAATTAGGGAAATGTAGATTAAAACAAGTTTGAAATATATAAACACAGGCATGAATAAAATTAACATTCTCATAAAAATATTGAGAAGATGAAAGCAAAACTTGAATGGAGATATTGCCAAAGGAACAGAAGCAGAAGCAGAACAAAATGTCCAAAATAAGACAGAATATATAATAATAAATGTTAATAGGTTAAAATTTTCTAGTGAAAGTATTGATTAGCTGACTTAAACCCATGTATATACTATTTATAAAACATACAACTAAAAGTTACACAAAAAATATATTTAAAAGATGATGAAGCTGTATTGTATTCAGATGAAAAGAAAGAATGTAATACTATTGTATGAATTAACATTAATGTAAGTCAATATACTAGACAAAGGATATATTTTTTTCATACTAAAAGCAGGAGGAGTACTTAATCAAATATGAAAAAGTATTAGGAGTACATGGAGAAATAGACAAATAGTTATGGGGTGTTTTATTATGCAGATTTTTGTCCATCTTTGACAGATGGGGGATAAAAACAAATAGGAGGTCTAAATAACAGTTAATAAAATGTCTGTATTTCTACTTTCTTCCCTTTAAATACAACACATTAAATTTCTACTCCATGGAATAGTTACAAAACACAGTAGACCTCATAACAGAACACCCAATATATTTCTAAAACTTGACATGACAGAGAGCACATATTTTATGACCACAATACAGTAAAACCAGAAATTAAATTTCAATTAAAGCTGTTACATTAGTCTTCACCAAAATTGAAAACTTTTGCTCTTTCAAAGACATCATTAAAAACAATAAAAGCAAGGCAAGCCAAAGAATGGGAGGAAAGATTCACACATTTTTCTAAGAATTTGTATCTAAAATATAAAAGAAATCTTATAACTCAGTGATAAGAAGAGAAACCACCCAGATAAAAATAGGCAAGATATTTGGACACCTCACAGAAAAAGATATATAAATGGCTAAGAAGCTCATGAAAAGATGTTCAATATTGTTACTTATCAGGTAAATGCAACTTGAAACAAAAATTAAATGCCACTGCATGCTCATTAGAATGCTTGCAATTGTAAAGATTGGTTGACAATGAAGATGTGGGCAAATGGAGCTCTTATAAACTGCTGCTGGGAAAACTGCCCGATTTCTTAAAAAGTTAAACATATAATGACTAAATGTCAGCCATTCCATTTCTATGTGTTTAATCAAGAGAGATGAAGAAATATTCTGACCAGGACTGTATACATATATATCTTAACAGCAGCTTTATTCATAAGAGCCCCAAACTTGAATAACCCAAATATTCCTCAGAAATTGAAAGGACAGTCAAAATATAATACAGTTGACCCTTGAAGAACAGGGGTTAGGGGCACCCACACTTATCCACATATAACTTTGACTCCCTTTGTATCAAAACGTAGTTGTCCCTTGGTATCTGCGGGGGATTGGTTCCAGAACTCCCTGCAGATACCAAAATCCACAGATGCATATTCTGACGCACATGGTCAGCCTTCCACATCCATGAACTCCCAACCACAGATTAAAAACACAGGAACTTATTGAAAGAAAAATCCACATATAAGTGGACCTTCACAATTCAAACTCATGTTCTTCAAGGGTCAACTGTATATACAATGGAATACTACTCAGCAATGAAAAATAATAACAATACCCACAACAACATGGATGAGTCTCAAGATCCTGATGAATGGAAGAAGCTGAAAACAACAGTACATACTGTATGTTGTGTACTCTCTGAGCAATGTTAGAATTTCCTAGATAATGTTGAGTTTTTTTGTTCGTTTGTTTCAGCAGATTATCAACCCAGTTCATTTTACAGTGAAAGTCCTCTCATTTTCTGTGGGTGGGTTCTAGTTGCAGTTAAGTTTCAAAGCCTTTGCTCTGCTCTCTGGGCTCTATTTTTACTGTGCTACTCAGGAATGAGTCTGAGACTGGGTGGTGATTTAAATCACTCCACCAATGACTGCAGGCACCAAGGAACAGACCTCAGGACACACCTTATGCTTGGCCACGAGACAATTTTACAAGGATTAAAATCAGACAAAATGTGTTCTTTAACCCCAGTGATAATAAATTAG